CGTGTAAAGCAATATCAAGTGGTAGAAAGCCGTGGAATGTATGTGGGGATCTTAGATGGGAGAGGACGTATGGGTCTAACGATAAATATATTTGTCCCAGTAGTAAAAATAGATATGTAAGTCCAAGATGTCCAAATAGAGATTATAACTTCTGCCCATATTGGTCTTGTGTGGGGTGGGCGACTTGGGGACAGACAGCAGACAAGGACATGATTGTGACTAAGTTGCCTATTGATCCATATTGTAAGTCTATGGAATGCAATCCAATCCATATACTTATAAGTAACCCTGACAAGTTCTTAGATAAATATGGTAATTTATTTGGGTTTCAAATATATGGGACGGGTTTAGACCCTGGGACAATATTGTTTATAGGGATAGAGACTGATACGGTAACCTCCCAAACTCATCAAGTATACCATTCCTTTTATGAAGAGATGAGCATAGATAATAAGATCCCCCATAATGCTAAAAACTTGTTCATTGATTTAGCCGAGAGTATTGCCGGTAGTCTTAATGTTACCAACTGCTATGTGTGTGGAGGTACTAACATGGGAGACCAATGGCCTTGGGAAGCAAAGGAGGTAATGTCCGGTTCTGAGGCAGTTGACCAATTAATATCTACACAAGCCGACTATCATATGAGTGTTAGAGGTAAATCTGAGTGGAGATTGAAGACCTCCATCATAGGTTATGTTTGCATAGCGAGGAAAGGAATGATGTATAATACTTCTGTAGGAGAATTAACTTGTCTAGGGCAAAAAGCTTATGATGATGATACAAAGAATACAACTTGGTGGTCGGCTTCAAATGTCTCAGAACCATCTAACCCGTTTGCAAGATATGCCAATTTAAAGGACGTATGGTTTGATCTATCCATCACATCTAACTGGAGAGCCCCAGCGAATTTGTACTGGATCTGTGGTAAGAAGGCCTATTCGGAGTTACCACAGGACTGGGAAGGGGCATGTGTGTTGGGTATGTTAAAACCATCCTTCTTCTTGTTGCCTATTGAAACAGGTGAGACTTTAGGTGTTAAAGTGTATGATGTGAATCATAGGAAGAAAAGGGGACCCATAGAGATAGGTGCCTGGGAAGATAATGAATGGCCTCCCCAGCGTATTATAGATTATTATGGGCCAGCCACGTGGGCAGAGGATGGTACCTTTGGTTATAGAACCCCTATTTATATGCTCAACCGCATTATAAGGTTACAGGCGGTGGTTGAGATCATTACTAACGAGACATCACAAGCGCTCAATCTTCTAGCGAAGCATAATACCAGGATGAGGACAGCAGTTTACCAAAATAGATTAGCCTTGGATTATCTTTTGGCAGTAGAGGGAGGTGTATGTGGGAAGTTTAACCTGAGCAATTGCTGTCTTCAAATAGATGACGAAGGGCAAGCAATAGCTGAGCTTACTAGCCATATGGTTAAACTAGCGCATGTGCCTACTCAGGTATGGAAAGGGTACAATCCAAGTAGTTGGTTTGGTAGCTGGTATGAGTGGTTTGGAGGGCTTAAGGCAGTGGTAGGTGGAGTCCTACTGATTTTAATGTTGTGTCTACTCCTGCCGTGTCTTATACCCTTAGTAGTTAGGTCTGTGCAAAGCCTGATAGAAAATATAGCAGAGAGGAAGGCTGCTGCACAGATAATGGCAATTTATAAATATAAGGCTCTAGATCAGGGAGAACTAATGCAGGAAGATGAGTGTTGAAGATTCACATCATAGGATAAGTCTGGTCTGGTTCAAAGGTAACTTGTGGTGTATGCAAACCAAGGTTAAGTGATGCCTCAAGTAATTGTAAAATATCAAGAGGCATCAAAGGGGGGAATGTGGTGGAATCTCGGTAAAAATAAATTTAGTAGGCCGAGATTACCACGTGGCATGTGTACGTGCATATGCTGACGTATCGATCAGTTGGTTGCACGAGGCAAGATACGATCAGTAGTGTACGGAGCATGTGCAAGAATACAGGATGTAGTATTCCCCTCCTCCATTGTGCTGGACAAGCCATGTGGTCAAGCAGGAAGTTAATTCTTATTTGTAATGATTGGTCAAGAGAATGTGCGGGTGGAGCTTAATATGGGAGGAGTTATGTGCCTATATAGGGAGCCTGCACTATTGTTCAGGGCTCAGAACTTGCTGTATTTTTGGTGACATTAGTCCCTCTGAGTCCCGATCGGTGATCCAATAAAGAATCTCTTCCTTCCTGAAGAAACCTGTGTCCATCCCTCTGTGCTTTGCTTCCATCAGTTTCTCCGGTATCAAAACATTATATTAATTCAATCTTATGGTAGCTCTCACTTCCACTTTAACACTGTATGAATCAGCGTTCCTCAACCTATTCATAAAAAGTGAATTCTCACTTTTATGAATTAGGACAAGGTGGGCCTCCTGTTAACCCCTAAAACATTTAAGTAAGCTGAAGTGCTGGAGAGTGGAGTGTCCCTTTAACATTTTGTTTTCAGGGTTATTCACTAAAATTAGAATTCACAGGAATTTAAAGTAAACTTAAAAAAATAACCGATTTAGAATTAAATTTGAAATTTCACATCAATTCTATTTTTAGTAAATAAAAGTATTGAAAAGTATTCAGTTTGGTAGCTAGTCATGTGATCTGTTTCATTAAGTCTACGTTCCAGAGATAGGCTACTTCATACATTCGCTGAATTGCAGCAAATTAATCATTAATTATCAAAGTCAATATTGAGGCTAAAACAGCTGGTTTGGCAAACTTCTCCAGTTATGTTATAAACAGCATGGCTATTTTAACCTTGATTTGAACCTACCAAGATTTCAATTTACTACAATTCGGGGTTTACTGAATAATGGTTTTCAGAATAATCAATACGCACTAGATTTTATTTCACAAGTTTACTTACTAAAATCCACCATAGAGGTATGTTATAAACCTGAATGCATCGTTGGTTTTATTTCAGGAAACATTTAGCACTCGCTTGCAAAGGGTTAAAAAAAAAAAAAAAAGCGCGTACCAGAGCCATGGATTCTGGGGGTCACAACCTTCATCATTCAGTAAATATAATCTAGAAGATGGTATTCATACAGTTACAATGTGATGCAGTGTGGCAAAACTAGCCACTTCAGACTATATGTGTAAAAATGTGTTGCTGTAACTTTAAGAATGTGAGAACCAAGCATGTACCTAGTTTGTTCATGTTGTGGAAATAAGGTCTGCACATATTTCCTATTTAGTGAAAAATGTCTATTTACTCATTCCACGATATATCATAAAGCTAAGCACACATGTTTTAATCAAAATGGCTGCTAGAAGCTTCTAACCCCTCCTCTCCCCCCTTCCCAACACCAACTAACTACCTCGTGCAACAAGATGGCGCCGGGAAACCGTGGGAGACCCTCATGGCCCCGGTGACATCACCTACAGTAGGCAGAGCATTAGAGCAACCACTTAACACCTAACCAATTATTGATGTATTATTCCATGTTATCTCTGACAATGCTTATGATGTAATTTTGCTTTAAAAGGGACCTGCTGTCCCCTCTGAATAAAACTTTCCTCAAGTTATTCAACAACCTGGAACCTGTGTCTGGTGTGAATTACTTTAGGGAGCGTGCACGCATCGTTTCATTGATTTGGCCAGGGGCAGATACACAAAGAAATAATCAATACTTTGATTGATTTTTCCATTTCAGTTCATGTTAGGCGAACGAGAGCATTTGTATGCTGGCTACAGGAAAGCCACCAGCATTCATACAGTAGTTTCCCGAACAGGGATTTTCAACCCTGTTCGTGAAACGAATAAACAACCGAATGAGAGACCACACACAGGGGTCGTGTGGCTCTCATTAAGCACTGCAACAATGTATCCTTCATGATTATTGAGATTCAGGGTGGGCACCGTTCGGCTACCGACCACACGGCGGTCGGCCATCTTGGATCCTTTGTTAGCCCAGCGGTATTTGGTCGTCGAGCGCCTGGAACTGAAATCGGCTACTCGATGGCACGAATACCGCTGGACTTCCAGGCCATTCAGGAGTTTGTTCCCCTATATGTATTGAGTATTTTGAGGTGAATGTAAAATAATATGTGTCTTCGTGCGGCGTTCGGTTAGTTAGACTGGGAGCTGAGCGGTACTTTCACGAAAGGTGCGCTCAGACCCCAGCTATCTACCGAACGGTCATTCCGTAAAATATCATGAATAATGTAGAAGTTATAGATTTTTGTGTGAAATGTTAGTTCTGCTGCACGGAGGGATAATCCACTTAACTGGGTATTCTAGTGGGAGTATCCCTCTCGTGCAGCAGTGCATGATGGGAGAAATGTCCGGGTTGTTAAGTCCCCCATGTAGTCCCCTACTGTACAACCCCTGTAATGTCAGTAGGGAAACCCCTTGCATAGGGAACTGCATAAATACTGTGACCTGTGATTAAAAGCTCAGTTGACTGCCAGCCGATGTGTCGTCTAGTTCTTGGGAAGGAAAGGATTTATACAACGCTACCAGGATTATTGCATGCTGTACTCATTTTGCTTGAAGGATTCGATGCTGTTCCTGTTACCCAGCGGAGATACTGTGGATTATACTACCTCTCCGCTACATGCAGTTAATCAGTTTAACTTGGGGTGCAATTTACCAGAATGCATGGTTGTCCACACCAACTTACCTGGTCTAAACAGAGCATCGGATCAATGCGGTTTAGTCGTGTTAAACTGGAAGGCAAAGAAAAATAATTCCTCCACTCATGAGTTTTCCCATCTTTTGCCTGTAATCCCGCTGTGAATTGGACACACATTTTAACATGTTCTGCTTAATAAATAAGCATCGGTGAGTTAGATATACCCCAGTGGAATCAATGGTACCAAGTCGCTGAGTCTCTATACACAGAATACAGTGACCCATGAACGGAAGGGTTTTATTAAAGCAGTGTTTGGCTTTCCTGCTCCGTGGAACAGAAAACACGAACGAGCATCCTTCTATACATTATACATGATTAGAAAAAACACACGTGACAGGGAGGGTTTTTGTAAGGTTTTTGTATTCTTTGTAAAAAGCAGAATCCAGAATGCAATGACATTTCTTTAAAACATTCAATTGCACAGAAAAATGGCAATTATTTCACCGTCGCTAAGCCTAGAATGGCTTGTAACAGGTAACAGCAATACATGAATTCTCAGAGATAAACAGCGACTCACACGCCCTGCCTACAATCTTAATTTCCTGTTACTTGTGCTGAAACAAAGGTGGCAAACTCCAGGTCCAATATGTATCTAGCATGTCCGAAAAATGGTGTATGTATGAAAAACTAATATTCATCAACTGGAATTACTGAGAATATTATACTGAAAGGGACCCTGTCACCTAAACCTTTTTTTTAACATACATTTAAACTAAACAATACTACAGAAAAATTATATTATCATCTAACCAATTTAAGGTATGCTGAGCAAACATCAGCTCCAGATAGATATTAAGTTGGTATAATTTTATTGTTGTAGGTAAAGGTTTCCTATTTAATAGATATAACCAATCACTAATCTCCAATTTTTTTCCAGCCATCGGAATGCTCAAGGATGTCGCTGATCTGGACAATCCTTCTGGCTGTGACTATTAGTGTGAATATTAACGCAGCTAATAGGAAGCAGAGCTTCCTGCACTGCAGTTGGAGGCTACAAGATCAGAGCTCCATCAAAGAGAAAATTGGGATCTCTCTTTGTGAATGAAATATCACCTGATGTCAAGGGAGTCATCAGGCTGTTAAAGAAAGAAAAAATAAAATAAATAAAATGTATTATTTTAATCCACTACTTTAAAGGGACACTATAGTCACCAAAACAACTTTTGCTTAATGAAGCCATTTTAGTATAGATCATGAACCTGATGTCAAAATCACTTTTGGTTCTGTTTATGTAGCCCTAGCCAGACCTCCCTGGCTGTGACTGACACAGCCTGCATGATCACAAAATGGTTTAATTTTCACTCCAATGTAAGTTACTTTAAAAGTTTTTATTTCCTGCTCTGTAAATTCAACTTTAATCACACACAAAGGGGCTCCTGCAGGTTCTAGCAAGCTATTAACAGAGCAGGAGATAGGAAATTCTAAATTAAACAAAATTTGCAATAAAGGAAGTATAAACATTAGATGACTCGTTACAGGAAATGTTTAGGGAGGGTGTGTAAGTCACATGCAGGGAGGTGTGACTAGGGTTGTATAACCAGAGTGATTTAACTCCTAAATGACAAAGAATTGAGTAGTGAGACTGCAGTGGCATGATCTATACACCAAAACTGCTTCATTAAGCTAAAGTTGTTTTGGGGACTGTAGTGTCCTTTTAAGTTGGGCTACTGAAGTGTAAGAAATGTGAAGGACCTGGAGTCTGCCATCATTCTCCTGAAGGTGCTTATTTGCTAAATTGGGAATTTGAGGGAAAGTGGACAAGGGAATTTTAGCTTTCAGACCAAAATAGCCAACCTGGATCTGAATTTGAAGAATATTCCCCACTGAATCCTCCAGGTTAGTAAATATGTTTATCGTGGTTATTCTCCGCAATGTAAACTGTTCCGAACAGAAAGTAAACTTAGCCTTTTAGGCCTCATAGCGGAAATGGAACAATTACCCAAGTCCTTCGGTTTGGCTAATTTGGCAGAATTCCTGACAATTCACAATTTTGCAAATAACCGTGTAAAGCTCGGCTCGCCGGAGGAAGCAAGAGTACGTCTTCATCTGGCAGCAAGCAGATAAAATCACAACATTTACTAAGCTGCTACAGTAAGACGCTATCAAATGATTATCGGAATCGTCAGGATTTTACCTTAAAGAGGCAGTAACTTTTAGTGCAAAATTCTCTTTAATGAATAGGATTTATTCCCTAAAATTAGATGTTACTGGGGCTGTATCGGTTTAAAGTTACAACTTATTACAACACGTTGTATGCTGCATATAACATTAGGGAAATTGTAAACCAGTCTGTGAGGTGCCGCTTACCAGCGCTGTAATTTTTGGTAGGAACCAATAGAAAAAACAAAGAAAATCGTCCAGATTACATTTGATACCCAGAATCTGTCCAGACTTAATGCTTTAAATCATATTTGTTCTGTACATATTCTTTTCAGGGCTAATTAATGTTAACCTATAGACATTGCCGTTACCATCACATATGAAAAGCAAATGGATTGAGGAAGTCTGGTCGCTTTAAATATGTGGACAGTGGCCAGCTTGTATTCTTAAAGCACCAGCTACCTAAATAGCAATACATTATTCAGTGAATGTGCCATATGCTCTTTGTTTGGAAACTCACAATTAAATATACACACACTAAACAAACTGTGCATTGAAACATATATTAATTTGCTCTCAAAAAACTCTATCATTTTATCCCTTCGAGTGCCAAAACTGTAAGTGCAGCCAAATCATAACTTCAAATCAGTTCAGACAAATAAATATTTCATTTTTAAAACAAGACTATAGGAAGATGATGAATTTTATGTACAAGTCGGGACAGATTCACTTTGACTTTTTTTTTTTTTTTGCTCCACAAAGTGCTCATTAAATTACCCTTTCAAACACCAAAAATGGTCTGTCGCCTACTGCGACACACAATACGCTATGTATTAAATAACTGGATACTGATCCAAGTGCAACGCAAATTAAATAAATAAAAACCATAAAAAACAAAGAAACAAGTTACCTGCGCACTATCCCAACTCCCTATGCATATTTAAATAACTGGCGTTTTTTTTTAGGATCAATCCAATGGCTGTTATTTAAATGTGCATAGGGAGTTGAGATGGTGGGCAAGTGATTTTCTTCTTTGTTTTTTATTGTATGCATTAGGGCTGATGTGTAGTATAATCATTGCTGCCACCCAGGAGTAGTGGGAGTTTTAGCGCAGGGCTTTATTTTGTAAATAAATAAAAATATCTCTGGCGCTGTCTTTATTAATGCCGCAGCCCTCGTTGTGCTCTCAGCACTAGCACAAAGCAAATCACATTTATTCTAGAACAAAAGCAGAGAGCCACGGGCTCTCCATATGATACAACAGGACCTGCAGTGGTCCTCTAACACTTACCACCCTTGGTCAGACTCCTGACCTGCTTTTTAAAGTGAATGGGTGGCTTCACTTTCCTCCTGTCTGCACAGAAATGAGTTGTCAGGCCACGAGGATGGGAGGAGCAGAGGAAGACGACTTACCTAGTAGCTACTCTCCTCGGGCCTCACCAAAATAACATCTGGCAGTAAAGTGGGTAACTTGATGAGAAATGAAATGTATGGACAATAATAAAACCAGGTGGTAAAGCAATCTGTCCATGCTAATCGCTGGGTTTGAGACATGGATGGCACAGTCCGCTACAGCTGAGATATAGCTGAACACACAGGTTTTTTTTTTTACTTAAGCAGGAAGTGTGAAGAATGAACAGCCCACATCTGACTTTCCTGGGGGCATTTTTAGGACAAAATACTGAACAAGAAAGTCACCTGAATTGTAGATTTTTAAACTTATTTTGGTAATATTGCAATTCCAGGTTTAGCGAATAAACATCTGTCCAGTAATTATTAGTTATTGGGGGTCAGTGTGACAATGATCTCATCACAATGTTTCTCATGATCACAGCTCAGCTCTTTAGAATCTTCCTAATCACACGTTGAACTCTTAAAGGGTAAACTTTGTAACAGGGATATATAACCGGTTTTGGAAGAATAATGATATATACACATTGGGTTTCAACAACGATGTTAGAATGAATGCTTTGAGCGCTGGTTTACCTTTCAGATCGTGTCCAAGTGCTGGCCAGGCTCAGGGTTTAACCCTCTATATGCTGGCACAATTTACAGGAAGGGTGACTTGGCTATAAAAATAATTTATAAAGTTCATCATTAGGAATTCACATGGTGAGTCTGAAAGTAAATAGAATAATTTGAAAGCTGTCGGCCGTTTAACGTCTGATTAGAGCTGCTACAAGCTGCGCTGTGATCAGGAAAGAAATGGTCAAAGTATTTACATGACGTACAGACTGTACCAGGTCAGACAGAAACTCACACCAATGCTCAGCCTAAGCTAACATTTGACATGTGCCAGATATCTTTACTCCATTATTAACTCAGTAATTATTACTGAATCAGTCAGGACACATACCGTAGCTGGCAGCCACTAAGGATTCTTCTGGTTTACACTGTGCTGTCTAGTACTTCACGGTGGATAGAAACCTATAAAATGATGATGGGTAAGACTACGCACCTTTCAAGTCTGCCCTTACTGAATGACATCGTGATCCACAGCTACATCTAGTTTCTGGAATTAGTCTTTGTAAATTTCTTTTTAATAACACTTTACCGTCTCTGATGGGTAATGTGTTAAATGTTGCATGTTGGCATGGCGTGGATGTCCCTATAATTTGCTGCATGTGACATTACAAATGGCAGTCAATGAAATAATGTGCCAGGGATGAGAACAAATTCTCCCTGCAATCCCCGCCAGTCCATTAGCTGTACCACGGTGATGGATTATTGCTGGTAGTTTCCATACTGGCCCTGAGGGGAGACAGATAGGATACAGTAAATAAAAGCCACAACAGAACAATGGAATCGGCTCAGAAAAGGTAGAGAGACCGTGATCAAGAGAAAGAGAGAGGCAGAGATCCAGAGAGAGACAGGGATACAGAGAGAAACAGTGATAGAGAGAGAGAGAGAGAGAGAGGCAGCTATAAAGAGAGAGACTGTGATACAGACAGAGAGGCAGGGAAACAGAGAGACAGAGAGAAAGGGATAGAGAGAGACAGTGATACTGAGAGAAAGGGACAGGGATACAGAGAGAGAGGCATTGAGAGAGAGAAACAGGGATACTGAGAGAGAAAGAGAAAGAGAGAGATATAAAAGGAAGGAGGGAAAGGCTATGCCAAGGAAAAGTAAAGAAGGAATTAGACGAAATTTCAATGGAGGTAGAAGCGAGCGATACAATGATGGCGAGGGTTGGAGAAGCGAGTGATACAATGATGGCGAGGGAGGAAGAATATAGAGTAGAGGAGAGAGAAGGAATAAATCACAGTAATCAGGATATGTATCTTTGAATTAACGCTACATAAAGGAATTTACCTGCTCGTAGCCATAGGGCCTCTGCTGCTGGGCGGAGGATGCGGTCTGAGGTGCACGATAACTGGAGTACGGCTGACTCTGACCTTGCTGGTAGCTGGAATACTGAGAGGACGTTCCTTGTGCAGGAACTGGGGGAGTTACAGAAACAGGATATTAGATTGCAAGCTCTTTTGGTCACGAGAAGTAATAAAGTAATAAAACAAAGCATTGGATCCCTTTTGCAAAACAGGATTTTCAAACGATACTCAAACCACAATATCGTAAGTTAATGACAACAGTGATGTATCCAAATAATTCCTATATGAATCTTGAGGCTGATGAGGTGTCTCCCTGCCTCCTTTATAGACTGAGAATTCTGCTGGCAAGCAGTTATGGGTGTTAGTTTTTTCCTATTCCCGGTTTATGGTTTAAGAGTGCCAGCCGGGCTCTAACAGTCTCACCGTATCCCTGCTGTTGTCCAGGATAGTTTTGTTGGTTTGCGTACTGCTGCTGGGAGTATCCCGGCTGTTGGCTCGTTCCTTGCTGATATCCTGATTGCTGCTGACTGTACTGTGTGTTTCCTGCAGAAGGTTAAACGCAAACATAGCACTAGATCATTAAACATGTAAATTATAGCTGGAGAGTCAGCAGTGCAGGCTGAAAAATGGCTACAAAGATATCACTATATACATTTCCACGTTACCAATTCACATATTTCCTTGCAATTTGGAAAGTAAAGCTGTAATTCACAATGCATTTAACACCTTAGCCCTAAACAGCTGAACTGGAAAACAATCTCAAGTTCCGATATGGGTTTAGTTTGGACATTTTGGTCTAGAATTTCAATTTACTTGGAATTCCTGGCACCTTAGTGAATAACTGTAAACGTAGACCAATAATATATGTAGGAATTACTTATATTATTGTTATATTATAACGGTTAATTAAATGAGATTCTGACATCATATCCCCCCTCCCCCCCAAAAAAAGGCACGTATAAGGCATTTCATGCAAAGCAACTTAATTTTCCCATCATTCCTGTTAGGAGGCAGTATAAAATAGAGAAGTGTCTAAACACTTAGCATGAGCACATCTTATACACACCAAATTAAAGCTGAGAGTCTTAAATGGTCTACTATAAAAGCAGAGTGGCTGCCATCTACAGGACTTCGGTTGTAACTGTGTGTATCAAAAACATCAGCGTCAACATAGATCACGTTTTAAAACATAAGGAATCTTTAGGAATTGTATTTCCATTTAACAGGATGGTATTACGTATTATAGAGTTACAGATATCAGCTACACACAGCTTTACTCAAGGGTCACTTACCTCCTTCATAGTAATGCTGCGACGAATCCTCAAAGGTTCGGCTGTCGTAGCTCTGCTCCCCATAAGATGACTGTTGGTAGCTGTAATCACTGTGCCCTGCAGAACACAGGTTACAAAGAGATCAGCTGGAGTGAGTAATGATGTCTATCATGATTGTCATAAATATTCTGTAAATAGACAGCCAGATGCAGATACTGTATGTAGACAGTCAGATATAAATATTCTGTTACTAGACAGCCAGACAGAGGTACTGTATGTAGACAGTCAGATATAGATATTCTGTAAAGAGACAGCCAGACGCAGATACTGTAACTAGACAGCCAGATATTGATATTCTGTATGTAGACAGTCAGATATAGATATTCTATTAATAGACAGCCAGACACAGATACTGTATGTTAACGGCTTGTTCGCTAAATTAAAGAAAACGTTTAAAAGCCATAACCACTACATCTTATTGCATAATTACAGCTAATTGTATCATTGCATGGTATTGTTATTACATCACATTGTACAATCACAATAGGCTACAAAAAATAGCACACTATAATAATATAATGATCACAAAGCTGTAATTAATCAATAAGTTGTAGTAATACAATAAGCTATAGTAATACACTGAGCTGTGATAATATAATAAGCTGTAACATTACAATGAACACTGAGCTATTATAATACACTGAGTTATAATAATACAATTAACTGTACTAATACACTGAGCTGCAATAATACACTGAGCTATTACAATACACGGAGTTATAATAATACAATAAGCTGCAATAATACAAAGAGCTGCAATAATACACAACTATAATAATACAATTAGCTGCAATAATACACTGAGCTATTAGAATACACTGAGCTGCATTAATACACTGAGCTACAATAATACACTGAGCTATAATAATACACTGAGCTATAATAATACACTGAGCTGCAATAATACACTGAGCTGCAATAATACACTGAGCTGCAATAATACACTGAGCTATAATAATACAATGAGCTGCAATAATACAATGAGATGCAATAATACACTGAGCTGCAATAATACACTGAGCTGCAATAATACACTGAGCTATAATAATACAATGAGCTGAAATAATACAATGAGCTGCAATAATAAAACACACTGTAATAATACAACGAGCTGCAATAATACATTGAGCTGTTTTCATACAATGAGCTGCAATAATACAATAATCTGTATTTATACAATGAGATGTAATCGTACAATGAGCTCTAAAAGTACACTAAGCTGCATTATAACAGGTTGAGGGGTTCATTATTTTGCGAGATATTTGAAGCTCAGAGAAAGATAAAAGTGATAAGTGGTAACAAGGTGTACATGTAATGTATTAACCATTCCCAGGACTGAGTGGCACTTACCGTCTGAGTAATACTGCTGGCTCATTGGCTCTGAGGGGCCCTGGTTGTGGCCATATTGCTCACTATAATATTCTTCCTGCCCCAGGTACTGCTGAGAAGATCCTGGAAGAACAGGAAATAATAATAAAACGGCAGACAATACATCTTCTTGTAGAGCATACTGACAGGCTCTCTTACCTTGTTGTGTAGTCTGAGTGGACATTGTGATCTGACCATGAAAGGTAAGCTCTGTATGAAACCTGTGATATCTGGTGCATGCTCACTTACCTTGCTGTGTGGGTCTGTATGGACCCAGAGGTCTCTGTCCCATCATGCCACTTCCCTGGTTGTTCTGGCTCATCATGGAGATGGAAGACTGTGCTTGGTAATGCTGGCTACTGCCTTGTGCCGTGGTGTAATGGGAGCTGGCTGCTTGTTGGTGCATCATGGACACTGGTCAACAACAAGGTAGAGCTCAGAAATTGGCAATGGAAGGGGGAGGGACAAGGCTAGGTAACAACTAGAAGGAGTTTAAAGCTAGACAGCAAGAAGAAAGAGGTCAAAGTTGTCCATCATAAGGAAGAAGTTCATGGATGGGCATTGTTTAAGATGATGTTAAGGCTGGGTATCGTCAAGGAAGAGGTCAAGACTGGGCATTGTTAAGTAAGGGGTCCAGGCTGGGCATTGCAGAGTAAGAGTGCAAGGCTGGGAAACATCAAGTAAGAGTTCAAGTCTGGGTTTTGTCAAGAAAGAGCTCAAGGTTGAACACTGTGTCAAGGAAGGACTCAAGGAAGAGGTCAAGACTGAGCACGGTCAGCGAAGTTGTCAAGGCTGAACATCTTCATAGAAGAGGTCATGACTGGGCACTGTCGATGTAAAGTTCAAGACTGAGCATTATCAAGGAAGAGGTCAGGGCTGAGCATTGTCAAAGAAGAGGTCAAAGCTGGCAATCACAAGGAAGAGATTAGGGCTGTCAAACAGAAGGAGTCAGGGCTGTCAACCACAAGGAAGAGGTCAGGACATACACATCACGGTACAGTTACCAGATTGCTAGCTGTTATCACGAGCAAGGATTTTCACTTACCAGGGTTGGATGGCATATTCATATTTGCTCTTGATACATAGTTGCTGATGCTGCCCTGACTTTGCATTGGCATGTTCTGGGAGCTGGGCACTGCGTGGCTGTAACCAGGGGCTGTGCCATGCGAACTGACTGCCATGCTCATTGTTGTAGTAGGCATGGTGGTTTGGCCAGATTGCTGCATGGACACATGGCTGGGCCCTAAAATAAAGCATGGGTTTAGTAATTAACACACATAGCACATGCCGGTTGCTAAGCAGGGAGTGATCCGCACACAGTAAACACAGTTAATGTTCATATTCCTCTATCAATTCACTGAAGTGCAATATTTCAATTCTGATTTGACCCTCTAATCTATCCAATTGTTTGAGAATAATTCCTGCAAATTCCATAGATTTCACATTATGACTAATGTTAAGGAAAATGCCATTGAGACCCCCTTTCTAACCACTAAACATCACCCATCAGTTGGGTCTGCAAATTCTCAGCACTGCTCGGTATTGGGAGAGCACTGAATGAAGAGGGGTACCCCAGAAATGGACACGGATACCCCAGGAATGCGGCATGCAGAGGGATACCCCAGGAATGCACAGGGATACCCCAGGAATGCATGCATGCAGAGGGATACCCCAGGAATGCAGCATGCAGGGGGATACCCCAGGAATGCAGCATGCAGAGGGATACCCCAGGAATGCAGCATGCAGCGGGATACCCCAGGAATGCAGCATGCAGCGGGATACCCCAGGAATGCAGCGGGATACCCCAGGAATGCAGCGGGATACCCCAGGAATGCAGCAGGGATACCCCAGGAATGCGGAGGGATACCCCAGGAATGCGGAGGGATACCCCAGGAATGCGGAGGGATACCCCAGGAATGCAGGAGGCATACCCCAGGAATGCAGGAGGGATACCCCAGGAATGCAGCATGCAGAAAAAACCTCAGGAATGCAGCGGGATACCCCAAGAATGCAGCATGCAGACGGATACCCCAGGAATGCGGAGGGATACCCCAGGAATGCGGAGGGATACCCCAGGAATGCGGGGGGGATACACCAGGAATGCAGGAGGGATACCCCAGGAATGCAGCACGCAGAGAAAACCTCAGGAACGCAGCGGGATACCCCAAGAATGCAGCATGCAGAGGGATACCCCAGGAATGCAGAGGGATACCATAGGAATGCAGCATTAGGGTTATACCAGATCTTCTCACGGTGGGGACTATACATTAGACTGTGATGTAAATTAAAATAAAAACCAAGTTGTAAAATGTAGGCCAAAATAGCAATACTGAGAAAATAATAGCGAAATAGTAAAAGATTTTCCCCAAAACTTATCAACTCAGTTTAGTCATTTACGGTTAATAAGCCCATAGCTGTGATCAGTAAATGGAAACTGCAGGAGGCAGGGCGACAATATATTTCAGGCTTTGTAGAAAACACACTAATAATGGTGTAAAACACTACAATTTATCTTCATCCTTACAGTGCCGCACCCTGATCACCTCCCTCTGCAACAACTGTCAGCGGATGGCGAGGGGCATATATAGCACCAACACATGGAGCAGTGCAGTGTGTCAGAGGATCGCAAGCTAAATGTTCCCTTAAATTAACTACAAGTAACCGCATTAACGAATAGGAAACGCAGGCGCAGGCTGCAGAGTGTGAAAATTCACATAACCAAAAGTATTAATGCCATGTCTGAACACAATCAAAACACCTTGTCACATAATTATTTGTATGCTCCTCCCAGGGCTAACACCATGAATCTCCTCTGTACACCCACTACCCGTTTCCTCTGCCCACGGGCTGCTATACAATCAACATTCACACATCTACTGACTGGCAGTGAACGCCAGCGCTTACCGTTAGTGATCTGACTCTGCATGAGGGAAGACGGGGGCAGGCTGGCACCCAGAGTGTCGCCCACGTTACCCTGCGTATGGAGGGGCTGGCTGGCTGCTGTTTGGCTCATCCCTCCAGGGCCAAGATTCAGGTTCTGGGTCGGCGGCTGCAAACAAAAACGGTATCATCAGGTGGAAAACACATAGATAATTATTTATTAAACCAGGAACTGCATTTTAAGACAGCCAAGCTGATAGTCCAGATGACTTGGAACAATTCTCCAATTCTCCTAGAATTTGTAGCTTTCAGTTCAATTCCCAATTAAGTGCACAAAGCCCCCAAAATAGAATAATTCTGAAATAGCTTTCATGAGGTGTTCACAAACAGTATTCAAGGTCACACAAGAATTGAGGGTGCTGATGAGAGCCCCCACAGATTTGTGGGACTGTGGCACATTTAACAGACAGACATTAAGGCATTGACAGTAGCCCACACCTGGCACTCCATGGAAACCTGCAAAGATGTAGGACCCTCTGAAATCAATGCCTGCAGGTACTGGGGGATGGCTATCAGTACATTGTATACATAGATATACATCTATCCAGAGGAGTATTTGTGGATGTACCTCCCAGGTGAGGTGGTATACTCTGATAAATACTCTACAGGTTCCACATTGGACCTGGTGCGTGCTGCAATGGATAACAAACTCACCGCAGGTAACAGAGACTGCATGTTCTGATTGGAATCTGCTATTGTGGCTAAATAAACCAGGTTACGGTGCAGGATCTGCTGATACCTGAGGGAAAAAAAGGACATTGAATCTGGGTAAATTAACAGCAGCCCCCTAACCTACAGAAAGGACACTCTGTGTCAGTACGGACACTTACTGAGTGCACTCTGCTGTCTTCCCCTTACTCTGATAGTCCATGATACACTGTATCAAGTGATGGTTCTCATCCAACATCTGACAAAATAAATACACAAATAGCGTTTAGTGCAATAAACGTGAGCAGTGCCCTGTATTATAATCTGTATTATGGCTGGCAGTGCCCTGTATTATAATCTGTATTATGGCTGGCAGTGCCCTGTATTATAGACTGTATTATGGCTGGCAGTGCCCTGTATTATAGTATGTATTATGGCTGGCAGTGCCCTGTATTATAATATGTATTATGGCTGGCAATGCCCTGTATTATAATATGTATTATGGCTGGCAGTGCCCTGTATTATACCCTGTATTATGGCTGGCAGTGCCCTGTATTATAATATGTATTATAGCTGGCAGTGCCCTGTATTATACCCTGTATTATGGCTGGCAGTGCCCTATATTATACCCTGTATCATGGCTGTCAGTGCCCTGTATTATAATATGTATTATGGCTGGTAATGCCCTGTATTATAGTATGTATAATGGCTGGCAGTGCCCTGTATTATACCCTGTATTATGGCTGGCAGTGCCCTGTATTATAATATGTATTATGGCTGGCAGTGCCCTGTATTATAGTATGTATAATGGCTGGCAGTGCCCTGTATTATGGCTGGCAGTGCCCTGTATTATACCCTGTATTATGGCTGGCAGTGCCCTGTATTATAATATGTATTATGGCTGGCAGTGCCCTGTATTATAGTATGTATAATGGCTGGCAGTGCCCTGTATTATAATATGTATTATGGCTGGCAGTGCCCTGTATTATACCCTGTATTATGGCTGGCAGTGCCCTGTATTATAATATGTATTATAGCTGGCAGTGCCCTGTATTATACCCTGTATTATGGCTGGCAGTGCCCTATATTATACCCTGTATCATGGCTGTCAGTGCCCTGTATTATAATATGTATTATGGCTGGTAGTGCCCTGTATTATAGTATGTATAATGGCTGGCAGTGCCCTGTATTATAGTATGTATAATGGCTGGCAGTGCCCTGTATTATACCCTGTATTATGGCTGGCAGTGCCCTGTATTATAATATGTATTATGGCTGGCAGTGCCCTGTATTATAGTATGTATAATGGCTGGCAGTGCCCTGTATTATAATATGTATTATGGCTGGCAGTGCCCTGTATTATACCCTGTATTATGGCTGGCAGTGCCCTGTATTATAATATGTATTATAGCTGGCAGTGCCCTGTATTATACCCTGTATTATGGCTGGCAGTGCCCTATATTATACCCTGTATCATGGCTGTCAGTGCCCTGTATTATAATATGTATTATGGCTGGTAGTGCCCTGTATTATAGTATGTATAATGGCTGGCAGTGCCCTGTATTATACCCTGTATTATGGCTGGCAGTGCCCTGTATTATAATATGTATTATGGCTGGCAGTGCCCTGTATTATAGTATGTATAATGGCTGGCAGTGCCCTGTATTATACCCTGTATTATGGCTGGCAGTGCCTTGTATTATAATATGTATTATGGCTGGCAGTGCCCTGTATTATACCCTGTATTATGGCTGGCAGTGCCCTGTATTATAATATGTATTATGGCTGGCAGTGCCCTGTATTATAATATGTATTATAGCTGGCAGTGCCCTGTATTATACCCTGTATAATGGCTGGCAGTGTCCTGTATTATAATATGTATTATGGCTGGCAGTGCCCTGTATTATGGCTGGCAGTGCCCTGTATTACAGTATGTATTACACCCCGTATGATACTTGGCAGTGCCCTGTTTTAAAACCTGTATTATGGCTGGCAGTGCCCTGTATTATACCCTGTATTATATTATTATATATTATTATTATACACTATATATTATTATTATACACTGTATTATATTATTATATATTATTATTATTATTATACACTGTATTATTACACACTATTATTATTATTATACACTGTATTATTACACACTATGGTGGCAGTGCCCTGTATTATATTATTATATATTATTATTATACACTGTATTATTACACACTATGGTGGCAGTGCCCTGTATTATATATTATATTATTATACACTGTATTATTACACACTATGGTGGCAGTGCCCTGTATTATATTATTATATATTATTATACACTGTATTATTACACACTATGGCGGCACTGCCCTGTATTATATTATTATATATTATTATACACTGTATTATTACACACTATGGTGGCAGTGCCCTGTATTATATTATTATATATTATAGTATTATATTATTATTATACACTATGGTGGCAGTGCCCTGTATTATATTATTATTATACACTGTATTATTACACACTATGGTGGCAGTGCCCTGTATTATATTATTATAATACACTGTATTATTACACACTATGGTGGCAGTGCCCTGTATTATATTATTATATAATTATATATTATTATTATACACTGTATTATTACACACTATGGTGGCAGTGCCCTGTATTATATTATATATTATTATACACTGTATTATTACACACTATGGTGGCAGTGCCCTGTATTATATTATTATATTATTATTATACACTGTATTATTACACACTATGGTGGCAGTGTCCTGTATTATATTATATATTATTATTATACACTGTATTATTACACACTATGGTGGCAGTGCCCTGTATTATATTATTATATATTATATTATTATTATACACTGTATTATTACACACTATGGTGGCAGTGCCCTGTATTATATATTATATTATTATTATTATACACTGTATTATTACACACTATGGTGGCAGAGCCCTGTATTATATTATTATATTATTATACACTGTATTATTACACACTATGGTGGCAGAGCCCTGTATTATATATTATATTATTATATATTATATTATTATTATTATTATACACTGTATTATTACACACTATGGTGGCAGTGCCCTGTATTATATTATTATATATTATTATTATTATACACTGTATTATTACACACTATGGTGGCAGTGCCCTGTATTATATTATTATATATTATTATTATACACTGTATTATTACACACTATGGTGGCAGTGCCCTGTATTATATTATTATATATTATTATTACTATACACTGTATTATTACACACTATGGTGGCAGTGCCCTGTATTATATTATTATTATTATACACTGTATTATTACACACTATGGTGGCAGTGCCCTGTATTATATTATTAGATATTATATTATAATTATTATACACTGTATTATTACACACTATGGTGGCAGTGCCCTGTATTATATTATTATTATACACTGTATTATCACACACTATGGTGGCAGTGCCCTGTATTATATTATTATATATTATTATTATACACTGTATTATTACACACTATGGTGGCAGTCCCCTGTATTATATTATTATTATTATTATAATACACTGTATTATTACACACTATGGTGGCAGTGCCCTGTATTATATTATTATTATTATACACTGTATTATTACACACTATGGTGGCAGTGCCTGTATTATATATTATTATATTGTGTATTATTATATACACTGTATTATTACACACTATGGTGGCAGTGCCCTGTATTATATTATTATATTATTATTATTATACACTGTATTATTACACACTATGGTGGCAGTGCCCTGTATTATATATTATTATTATACACTGTATTATTACACACTATGGTGGCAGTGCCCTGTATTATATTATTATTATTATACACTGTATTATTACACACTATGGTGGCAGTGCCCTGTATTATATATTATTATTATACACTGTATTATTACACACTATGGTGGCAGTGCCCTGTATTATATTATTATTATTATACACTGTATTATCACACACTATGGTGGCAGTGCCCTGTATTATATATTATATATTATTATTATACACTGTATTATTACACACTATGGTGTCAGTGCCCTGTATTATATATTATATATTTATTATTATACACTGTGTGTGCACTATGGTGGCAGTGCCTGTATTATATTATTATATATTATTATACACTGTATTATTACACACTATGGTGGCAGTGCCTGTATTATATTATATTATATATTGTGTATACCTGTATTATTAAACATTATGGTGGCAGTGCCTGTATTATATTATTATATTATTATTATTGTATACACTGTGTTATTACACACTATGGTGGCAGTGCCCTGTATTATATTATTATATTATTATTATTATACACTGTATTATTACACACTATGGTGGCAGTGCCCTGTATTATATATTATTATTATACACTGTATTATTACACACTATGGTGGCAGTGCCCTGTATTATATTATTATTATTATACACTGTATTATCACACACTATGGTGGCAGTGCCCTGTATTATATATTATATATTATTATTATACACTGTATTATTACACACTATGGTGTCAGTGCCCTGTATTATATATTATATTATTATACACTGTATTATTACACACTATGGTGGCAGTGCCCTGTATTATATTATATTATATATTATTATTATACACTGTATTATTACACACTATGGTGGCAGTGCCCTGTATTATATTATTATATATTATTATTATACACTGTATTATTACACACTATGGTGGCAGTGCCCTGTATTATATTATTATATATTATTATACACTGTATTATTACACACTATGGTGGCAGTGCCCTGTATTATATTATATTATATATTATTATTATACACTGTATTATTAAACATTATGGTGGCAGTGCCCTATTATATTATTATATATTATATTATTATTATTATTATACACTGTATTATTACACACTATGGTGGCAGTGCCCTGTATTATATTATTATATATTATTATTATACACTGTATTATTACACACTATGGTGGCAGTGCCCTGTATTACATTATTATATATTATTATTATTATACACTGTATTATTACACACTATGGTGGCAGTGCCCTGTATTATATTATTATATATTATATTATTATTATACACTGTATTATTACACACTATGGTGGCAGTGCTGTATTAGTATATATTATATTATTATTATTATTATATTATATATTATTATATTATTGTATACACTGTGTTATTACACTATGGTGGCAGTGCCCTGTATATATTATATTATTATTATTATACACTGTATTATTACACACTATGGTGGCAGTGCCCTGTATATATATTATTATTATTATTATACACTGTATTATTACACACTATGGTGGCAGTGCCCTGTATTATATTATATTATATATTATTATTATACACTGTATTATTACACACTATGGTGGCAGTGCCCTGTATTATATTATTATATATTATATTATTATTATTATACACTGTATTATTACACACTATGGTGGCAGTGCCCTGTATTATATTATTATATATTATATTACTATTATTATACACTGTATTATTACACACTATGGTGGCAGTGCCCTGTATTATATTATTATATATTATATTATTATTATTATTATACACTGTATTATTACACACTATGGTGGCAGTGCCCTGTATTATATATTATATTATTATTATTATTATACACTGTATTATTACACACTATGGTGGCAGTGCCCTGTATTATATTATTAGATATTATATTATATTATTATTATACACTGTATTATTACACACTATGGTGGCAGTGCCCTGTATTATATTATTATATATTATTATTACACACTATGGTGGCAGTGCCCTGTGGGTCATATTATATGGCTCATGTATTATTCTGAAATTATTATTATTATGGGAACCTTATTACTGGGACCTGCAGCAGACAGGGGGAGCGGGTGAGAATGGTATAATCCAACCAGCGTGTTCTGTACTGTCTGTCTAAGCAGCCTATATCTCCATCTAGGATTACATTTATCAATCGGTGCCAAATGGGTGTTAACGCGTTACTCTCTCTCTGTGGGAGAATCTGTGCCCTTAGTAAAGTCGCTCCCCCCCTGCCTGCACTTGGTACGCCCCACTACCCGGGCTTCCTGTCGCAGGCGCCGGGTAGAGCAGGTTGCCGGGGGCGGGGCTTGTGTTACGCACTTTGCGCAGTGTGGCCGCCGTCTAACGCAGTCTCTGAGGGGCAGCGAGCGCGGCGGCTGTTACGCAGTTTGCGTAGCGAGGTGGGCTGTCCGTTGGCCGGGAAGCGGAAGTTGCTCTGTGAATGGGGATGAGTGCGCTGTTTCTGGCTGCTTTCGCTTTGTGAGGATCAGGATGAGCTATGACCGAGCGATCACCGTGTTCTCCCCGGACGGACACCTCTTCCAGGTGGAATACGCCCAGGAGGCCGTCAAGAAGGGCTCCACCGCGGTGAGGAACACCATTGTCCCCGGGGCCACAAGGGCCGCCCGAGTACGGGAGGGGCCCTGGGGCCAGGGCCGCCCGAGAGCAGGGGCCACAAGGGCCGTCTGAGAGTGGGGACCCGGGGCCACAAGGGCTGCCTGAGAGTACGGGAGGGGCCCTGGGGGCCACAAGGGCTGCCTGAGAGTACGGGGGCACAAGGGGCTGTCTGAGAGCACGGGGACCCGGGGCCACAAGGGCTGTCTGAGAGCAATGGGGACCCAGCCAAGACCTGAGACGGGGGCCCTGGGGGGCCACAAGGGCTGCCTGAGAGCACACATGGGGTGTAGGTAGAGAAGGGCTCATGGAGGAAACTAATGGGGTGGTGGGAGAGTGGGGCCCCCCCAGGAGGAAATTAATGGGGGTAGGAGAGAGTTATGGGGGCCCCTCATGGGGTAGGAGGAAATTAATGGGGGGTAGGAGAGAGTTATGGGGCCCCCCATGGGGTAGGAGGAAACAATGGGGGTAGGAGAGAGTTATGGGGAGGTAGGAGAGAGTTATGGGGGTGCATTTGTCCATTAGGTGATGAGGAAGTTAAGTTAAAAGGGGGTGGGCTGTCCATAAGTTGAGAGCGAAATGGAAAACTTGCTATGGTGTAAAAAGAATTCATTTCATTGCTTTGGAGCAGGCTTCCCCAAACTCCGGCTCTCCAGATGTTGCTAAACTACAACTCCCATGATTCTATGAATGAAATAGATTGGCTGAGAATCATGGGAGTTGTAGTTTAGCAACATCTGGAGGGCCGGAGCGTAGGGAAGCCTGCTCTAAAGCATAGGTAGGCAACTTTTGGCACTCCAGATAGTGTGGACTACATATCACTTGATGCTTTTCCAGCATTATGGCTGTAAGGGTATTATGGGAGTTGTAGTTGTACAGCATCAGGAGTGCTGAAGGTTGCCTACCTCTGATTCATCATAACCACTACAGCACTCTTGGTGCATTTCTTTAAGGCAGCTGATTTGAGATTTCTGAATGATTTTGATCCTTCACTATATAAATAACATTAATCCTTCACTATATGAATAACACATGGTACATGGCAGCATTATTCCCATATTGACCAACAGGTGCCCAGTTTGTTTCATCTAATAACCATAGCCTCTATTAAAAACAGTATGAACTAATGTGTGTAATGGAGCTTAGTTCTCGTCTCCTAAAGTTGAGGGTGAATACAGATAAACCCATGGTGATTGCGTAAATCGGACATATAAAAAGTTCCAATGGGTTGTTAGGATGGTTTGTGTTCCCTAAACTTCATGTGAGTGGTGTGATGCCCAGTAAATGAAGGATTACAGCTGGTTACCTATTGTTAACTCTGACATTTTTGTTACTTGTGAAATGTGTGCTTTTGACACTATGCAATATATACTTCAATGCAGGTTGGTGTCCGAGGGAAAGAGATTGTAGTCCTTGGCGTTGAGAAGAAATCTGTAGCCAAGCTTCAAGATGAGAGGACAGTGCGGAAAATCTGTGCCTTGGATGAAAACGTGTTTATGGCTTTTGCCGGTAAGTGGATACTAACCGGTTCATTGACAAAAAGTGTGGTTGAACATGGCAGTGTGACAGACATTGAGATAGTGGGTGGAGTGTCACGTTCCCCAACGACTTCTCGCTGTTACCCGTATTATCACCGAACGAGCAATAAGCAGAAGAATATCATTCAAACTTGAGGCATGTCAAAGTGGCATTCACGGTCAATGAAAACCAATTATATCACTAAACTTTGACTTGTCAGGAGTTCACTAGGGAATTGTACGTTGTTTGGTAAAATAGGAGAACTGAAAAAAATCCCCAAGTTGGCTTTGCTGTTTTGACCTTCATTGTGTGGTTAAAGCTGCACGAATACCGTCTGGAGACTTTGCAACGACCCCCGACAGCGACATTGCCACTGGGTTTCTGGGGGCAGGAGGTTTGCTTTTCTGAGGTTTTGTTCGATAGCTATTTTAGTTTCACATGGATTTGTTATCAGCAAGCCAACACCAGACCATGCCTTCACCATGCATTGCAGTTGGAACCAGACATTTAAACCCACATGATCACCTTCTCTGAGACTTGGGAATATTGTTGTTGGAGTCAAATATTTCTTTTTGCCTTTTGACTCCTAAGTCCGGAGCATCAGTGGGTTGCCCTTAGCCATTAAGTAATGTTCAAAGTTGATATGAGCTGGTATTATAATGCTCTTCTAGAGCCTGGAGGAGCCTCCTGTGTGTGATTAAAGTTCAATTTATAGAGCAGGAGATAAAAACTCCCAAAGTCAGTTCACATTTGATTGAAAATTAAACCATATTTATTTCATGCAAGCTGTGTCAATCAAAGCCATGGGAGGTGTGGCTAGTAGGAATCAACCGATTATCGGTATCAGCCAATAGAGATACCGATATTGCCGATAATACATACCAGGACTGCCGGGCCCATTACAAGCCTGGTGGTCCTGGAGGGCCCACAGCAAGCGCTTACTTCCTTCCCTTCAGCTCCCCTGACTAAATTTCGCTGGTTCCGCGGCATTCAGATAGTTGCCACAATGCTGAAGGGAGCTGCTGGGCACCCACTGTACTTTCCATGCCACCGGACCACCAGGGAATGCCATAACCCTTCTCCCTGGTAAGAAGGGGGGAGCTAAAAAAATAAATTAAAACATTTAAATATTAAAAATAAAAATGCCCCTCTCTCTACACAAACACACACTCTACATTATATACACACTTCATTCACTATACACACACTACACACACACTGCATTCACTGTACACACACTACACAAACACACACACTCTGCATTCATTATATATACACACTACACATACACTCACTGCATTCACTATACACACTGCATTCATTATATACACACTGCATCCACTACACAAACATACACAGCTCCCCTGTCTAAACACACTGCATCCACTACATGTGGCATGTATATTTTGTGCATTTACCTTTAGAAATAGTTTATTTTTTCAAAATGGTAAATGTACAGAAGATTGGCAAGTTATCGGCTATCTGCCTGAAAGTTCACAGATTATCAGTATCGGCTCTAAAAAAAATCAATATCGGTCGATCCCTAGTGGTTAGTGCTGCATAAACATAAACAAAAGTAATTTAAAAGAACACTATAGTCACCTAAACAACTTTAGCTTAATGAAGCGGTTTTCAAGTATAGATCATGCCTCTCAGGTTTTACTGCTCAATTCACTGCCATTTAGGAGTTAAATCACTTTGTTTCTGTTTATGCAGCCTTTGCCACACCTCCCCTGGCTCTGATTGACAGAGCCTGCATGAAAAAAAAGTTTCACTTTCAATCAGTTGTAATTTACCTTAAACAATTTGATCTCTTGCTCTGTAAATTGAACTTTAATCGCATACAGGAGGCTCCTGCAGGGGATAAGAAAATCTAAATTAAACAGAACTTGCAATATAGGAAGGATAAACATTAGATGACTCTTTACAGGAAGTGTTTAGGAAGGCTGTGCAAGTCACATGCAGGGAGGTGTGACTAGGGTTCATAAACAAAGGGATTTAACTCCTAAATGGCAGAGAATTGAGCAGTGAGGCTGCAGGGGCATGATCTATACACCAAAACTACTTCATTAAGCCAAAGTTGTTTTGGTGACTATAGTGTCCCTTTAAATTTGGCATAGATTGGTGTTTAATACCTTAGGTTGTCTTCTTTTAAAAAATATATTCATGTGAAGGGATATTCAGGGATTCCTGACAGATATCAGGTTTACAATGTAATTTGCGTTCATTTTTGTTTAAAAAACAAAATGGTTTGTAAATACCAAAGTGCCATTTGTACTTATTGCCCTATAATTTAAAAAATAAATAAATAAATAAAAAAAAAGCTAAGAACTTGTTAACATTGGGTATTTCTAAATTCAGGACAAAATTTAGAAAATAACACGGGTGTTTTTTGGCGGTAGTAGATGCATAACAGATTTTGGGGGTCAAAGTTAGAAATAGTGTGTTTTTATTTTATTTTTTTTGTTTTTTACATTTCGTCATATTTTATAATTTTGTTTTTATAGTAAATTATATGATGAAAATGATATCTTTAGAAAGGTCATTTATTGACAAGAAAAACTGTATATTATATGTGTGGGTACAGAAACAGAGTAAGAGGAAAATTACAGCTAAACATGAACACCTCAGAAATGTAAAAAAAGCCCTGGTCCTTAACGGTAAGAAAATTGAAAAACAGTCTGGTCACTATGGGGTTAAACATACAGGAGGCTCCTGCAGGGTCTAGCAAACTATTAACATAGCAGAAGATAAGAAATTCTAAATGAAACAGAATTTGCAATAAAGGAATTGTAAACATTGGCTGACTCTTTACAGGAAGTGTTTAGAAAGGCTGTGTAAGTCACATGCAGGTATTTATTACTACGGTTGTAAAAACAAAGTGATTTAACTCTTAAATGGCAGATTTTAGCAATGAGACTTTAAGGGTAGGATCTATACACCAAAACTGCTTCATTAAGCTGAAGGTGTTTTGGTGACTATACTGTCCATTTAATATCACAGATTTGCTTGAAAAGCCTGATCGATAGCTGTGTGCTGATAACTGATCTTGTACAGTGTGTCTATATTGTTGGTGTTTTGTTTTTACACATTTGGACTATAATAAAGTGTGAAATGATAACTATTAATAAGTATTTATCTCAGAAAATAGCCTGGGAATAGGCTTTAGACTGAGTAAATCTTGATTTGCCTGTTAGGATTTGTTCTAATCACACACTTTGTGCTCAGGTCTCACAGCTGATGCCCGTATTGTTATAAACCGTGCCCGTGTTGAATGTCAAAGTCACAGACTCACAGTGGAGGATCCAGTGACTGTGGAATATATCACGCGGTATATAGCCAGTTTGAAACAGGTAAGAGACAATGCTGCTGTGTTCACTGATTGTTAATTTCTTATGAGGGAAGGGGGGGGTCTGCACGGTAGTATGCTAGTTCAGCCGAGGGTTTAGGGATACCTATAAAAGTACATCAGGATTTTAGTCTAATTCTGCCCCAAAGAACTAGTTTTTCATAGTGTCTATTAATTAAATTATCATTTTAAATGGGAAGAGGTATTTTTCCATGGCTGGTGCAGTTACGAACAGGCTAAGGTGTTTTTTTTTCCGTGGCTTACATGAGGTTTATGTCCTCAGCGTTACACTCAGAGCAATGGCCGTCGTCCTTTTGGAATATCCGCTCTGATTGTGGGTTTTGACTTTGATGGGACTCCTCGTCTCTACCAGACTGATCCCTCTGGAACCTACCATGCTTGGAAGGTAAGGAAGCATTGGGCTTTGTCAGTCTTTTCACGGGTGGTGTCAGTGTGTATCATGTATGCCTGATGTGTCTGCCTAACATGTCCCCACTCAGGCCAATGCAATTGGCAGAGGCGCTAAATCTGTGCGTGAGTTCCTAGAGAAGCACTACACCGAGGAAGCCATTGAAACAGATGATCTGACCATTAAACTCGTCATTAAGGCTCTGCTAGAAGTAAGTGATTTGTGTCAATATTTGCTGTTCACTCTACATCTTCACTTTGTACTAACTGTGATTCCATGCGTGCTCATTCTTATTACCATTACAACACACACAGACCACTGGTGGTTTAAAGAACCTTTTCTGTATTCCTAAAGCTAAAATCTTCTCTGCGTGTAGTTTAAGGACCTTCCTCTGAATAAAACACGTGGGGGGGGAAATGGTGTAACTCACTATTTTTTATTGCAGTGCAATCCATTCCATGCAGCCGTTCAATCCGCCTCCTGTGGGGTCACTCCTATTCTTCTCTTCCTTCCAATCTAATTCCCTCATATAGGAGCATTGGAGATGAGAAGCACATGAGCGTCCTGTCCTGCACTCCTCCATGATTTGGAGGTTTGCAGTGAGAGCAGAGTTTGATGCGGAGGTGCCTTTAGTGACTGTCAGGAAGATAGCCGCTAAAGATGTGTTTAACCCTCCAATGTAAACATTTCTGTATTTACTACAGGGTTAAAACTAAAGGACCACTGCACCCAAACTACCTCATGGAGATGAAGTGATATGAGTGACTTTAGCGATATTTAAGGAAGCACTGTGTAATCTGTATAGACAGAACTCCTTACATTATACTTCTTATTCCTGTAATATTTCTAAACAAAGGTTTCTTGTATCTAGTGTGCTAGATTTGAAATACATGGGAAACGTTCCATTATATAACCATGCTGTGCTTTTATAGGTCGTTCAATCCGGGGGTAAAAACGTGGAGTTAGCAGTAATGAGAAGAGATCAGCCACTAAAGGTAAGTTTCAGACTAGAGTTATAACATTACAGAATCATCTTACTAAAGTTAATATTTTATCAACAGTAAAATGTAAAAGGGAGTTATATTCTGACTACACAGCTACTAGCCAGGCATCAAAAGTAACTAGCCACTGCAAGTCATAGCATACCGTCCTCTGGGCTATATTTTGCCTCACCAAAGGAGAGTCTCTTTAGGTTCAATAGTTTTCTACCTCCGTGCTATACTGCAGTCGGTTACCTCTCACATTTAAAACCCTCAAACTAGCCAATTCCTGCACCAGTTGCACGCCAACAAAGAATTAAAAAGATAATATCAGGTTCTCAGGTGTGTCATGGGAAGTAGTATTTTTAGCAAAGGTGACTAAACTCCAATGAAACAAATGTATAATTAAAAGAATGTATGTTTTCATCGGGGGTATTTAAGAAGTAGTGATTTGTTCATTTTTTGTATTTGCCTAGTTGAGTGTCCCTTTACCGTCTTGATTCCTTTTCTCCGTCTGCTAACTTGTACGCTATGCTCATTCCAACAGATCCTCAGTCCAGACGAAATCGAGAGATATGTGGCTGAAATTGAGAAGGAAAAAGAAGAGAATGAAAAGAAGAAACAGAAAAAGACATAATTCTCCTGTTGGAATCACACTTACTGTGCATATTGTTTAGTCTGTGGGAAATAACTATTAAATAAAGTCTTTTTTTTTTTGTAATTCAGACATGCCGGATCTGCTCTCTGTTTACTGAATTCCAGTGTAAACAATAATCGCTAGACTCTCTGCTTCCTATTCCGTGTTGTTAGATACGTGTAACCAAATGGTGTGATGGCTGCTTGAGATTTAAAGCACCGTGTAAAAAAACTAAAATGACATTTTACAGCTGTTTCCTGATTATTGTAGTGTAGGTTTTATTGCAGTGACCTACAGCACTGTCTCTTCAGTAAAGGGACATTATAGGCACCAAAACAACTTTAGCTTCTTGAAGCCGTTTTGGAGTATAAATCATGTTGCTGCAGTCTCACTGCACAATTCTCTGCCATTTAGGAGTTAAATCAGTTTGTTTATGCAGCCCTAGTCACACCTCCCTGCATGTGACTTGCACAGCCTTTCTAAACACTTCCTGTAGAGACATCTAATGTTTACAATTCATTTATTGCAACTTATGTTTAATTTAGAACTTCTTATCTCCAGCCTGCTTAATAGCTTGCTAGAACTTCAGGAGCCTCCTGTATGTAATTAAAATTCAATTTACAGAGCAGGAGATAAAACCATTTTGTTTTCATGCAGGCTGTGTCAGTCAGAGGTGTGACTAGGGTTCCATAAATAGAAACAAACATGATTTAACTCCTAAATGGCAGATAATTGTGCAGGAGCATGATCTATACACAACTGCTTCATTAAGCTAAAGTGTACCTTTACCAATGCTTCCCCCCCCCCTCCATATTACCCTTGATGCTTCACTTTTCAGAAGTGTAGATTTATTTATAAAGACTGCCACAATTTAAAGGTTTTAACCCGGTAAGCATGTGTAGGTGCTCAGAGAGTGTGATATCACGCTAGTTCTTTACGAGTAGTTTATGATAAGATTAGCTGCGCTTCTGACCAAAGACACGTACAGTTGGCGGCCTCCATAGAGCGATGGTAAAGAGAGGTGTATGCATTACAAAATAATATAACGCTTATAATACGGGTGTGTTTAATTTTAAATAATCTGTTTTCCTTTAATTTACAATATCATATACTGATTGTATGTATTGTAGCTAAGAAGCGGACAGTCTAATGCCTGGATAGTGTGGATTTTGGGCACACCGCATCCTATAGAATCCACTGCCTATTAATAAATGATACATATAAATAATTTTTATAGCTGTGGGGGGGGGGGGGACTAATAACTGGGCAGAGGCTGTATCATGGGCAATGAAAACCAGCCTATAAAGTGCATTATGCTGTAAGCAACATATAGTTTAAAAAGTACAATGTCATCCGGAGTGGATGAAGGAATTTAATTTATCTAGTGAGTTTCCTAACTAGAAGCTAAATGTAGACAAAACTATAGTTTCATCCAAAAACATTACAGAAAAAGATTTGTTGATTTTTAAACATAAATCAGTTCCAGTGGTCGAATAAAAGAATTTCAATATCTGAGTATAACAATAACTGGTAAAGCAGATATAATGATGGAAACACACACCTGGAACCTTCTAAATTACACCAATAAAGAAATGAAGCTATGGAGTATCGTGGTTTGGAAGGATATATATAATCAAGTCATATATAATACCTAAATGGGCTAATCTTTTCCAAACGATACCTCTTGTCATTAGGGTTAAGTGAGGGTTCAAATTAGGGTTAGGTAAGTGATTTTAACCTCTCACTCTATTTTAACCCTTACCCCAAGGGTTAGGGTTAGAATAAAGTGTGAAAAAACAAACATTTTTACTTACCATAAATTTATTTTTCCAGAAGATTAGAGGCAGTGCTTTACAACTGGGATTTCATCACCTGGAGGGAAAAAACAGGCAGGCAATCTCCCAAACTTTTCAAGAACCTCCCCCAATTAACATATGGCCTTATAAATTGCTTCCTACCCAAGACATCCCCAGAAATTACAAAAGCCGAAAAACCTGCGACCAAAGTTGTATCTTCCAAGGTCAACAGACCAAAATGAGTGAAGAGATCACCTTGTGGCTGTTAGGAATTCGAGAGAATGTATAGCAGAAGCCCTCCGGCACCCGATCTGAACATAACTGATCGAAGGACCTTCACTGGAGATAGGTGTTAGATAAGAAAAAACCCAAACGAATGCAGACCTTTAAGGTAACGTAGACGAGAACTAAATGCCCAGGCAGTGGAATTAGCATTCCAAGACCCTAGAACGCTATTGGGAAAAGTTAGAAAAATAATGATAGATGGAAGATTGGGAAGAATTAAAGAATCCAACTTAACTCCACTTTCTCCTGCTGAAAATGGGAACTTGAAGAACTTGAAGTTCTTCCCAAAAATATTTTGGGCGACTACCCCCAAAGACCTAGAGTGAAGACTCAAATCAGCAGAGTTAAAAACCCCAAAATAAGATCCCCTGGGGTAAAGATTCCCTGAAGATAGGAACTAACCACGAAAGAGCCTAGCAGATACTGGTGATTTGGAGACAAACCTCTGAAAATCAACTGATAACCGAAATTTGACCTTGAGGATCTCTGGCTTTAAACCATCCGCAAAACCCCTCTGAAGAAAAAAAAAAAAAGGAGGTTAAAAACTTGGAAGCGGATGCCTGCTTTTCTTTGAACCAATATCTTAAAAAAACAACACCTTCCATATTTGGAATAAATCTTGGAACAAGATCAATTTATAGTAAAAGAGATTGTCAATAATTTCCTGAGACAAAACATCCTTCAGTATCTGGTATTCATAAACCAGGTCGTCAGCTTGAATTACTATAAAGTTGAGAAGAGGTACCCTTGAGAATTCCAGGATGCCTATTACAGGTAAATCTTGGAACAAGATCAATTTATAGTAAAAGAGATTGTCAATAATTTCCTGAGACAAAACATCCTTCAGTATCTGGTATTCATAAACCAGGTCGTCAGCTTGAATTACTACAAAGTTGAGAAGAAGTACCCTTGAGAATTCCAGGATGCCTATTACAGGTAAGATCCCCAAAGATTCCTCCAGATAATTTTAGATGAACGGTGAAACAGCTACTTGCCACCAAGGGAGGAAGACTATCATTCTCACCTTTTCCATCCTATGGGATCTTGGGAATAGGGAACCAGGAAGAAACTATAGGTTAGACTGGAATTCCCAAGAAAGAAAAGGAAACCAAAGCTTACTGGTCTGTCCAAGCTTGTCCAATGAAAAACTTCATGCTGTTTGATCTAGAAGTCCCAGTTCCATAACTGGATAATCAAATTCTCCCTATTGTTTGGGTGAAGATCAGGGAGTACAAACCAATCTGCTTTGTATTAAATGTTGACTACTCAATGATACAGCTAAACAGAGGAATATTAAGTTCTATGCATAAGTGAATAGACCTAAGAAAATCTAACCCAAGCATATCCTGGAGCAAGATTTTTTAAACAAGAAGAAGACTTTGTTTGTACATAACTGCTACCGATGTAGAGCTATCTGACCAGATCTGGACAAGATAATACCTGGTCTTTATCTGAAAGGCAAAGAGAGCTAGCCAGATAGCCTTCGGTCCTATGTAGTTGGATAAGTTTTTTCAAAATATCTCAGCTAATTTCCCTTCAACCCTATGAGAACCTAGCTGAGACCTGAAGCATCAGTCGTAAAACTCTGAACGATCAATTTGAGAACTAGAACAAAAAGTAGGAACCATCTGGCATCCTTCATTTCTGCCTGGTTCAGAAAGGAATGACCGAAGTATTGGATTTTACTGCAAAATCTTATCAGCAACTGTATCTGGCCACTGAAGGACCTGTAAACAGTGCTATGCCTAAAGAAGCTGAAGAGACCAAGCAGGTTCTTATAAGACGGGAACCAAAATTATTTCCCTAGTATCTTGTGTACTGAAGTAGAAAAGAGATTTCAGGTGATAAGGACAGATAGAACCACAATTTTTTTTCTTCAGGGAATTACCATTCTCTGTGAGTCAAAAACCCTTGTCAAAATTTTTACACCAGAACTGCACACTTCTTGTAAAAGGAATTCTTTATCAGAAAATTGATTAGCATCCACCTGTATGCTGTAGAAACACCCTAACCTTTAGGGGCTGGTGTACAAAAATTAATTAGGTGCCCCCGAGGAAGCAGTATTGTAGAGATTCAGCAAATTTATGGATGGCAACATTTTGCATAGTGAGAGAAACTTAAGTGGCAATAGCCATAAGCTCTTTCTTAAAAGAAAGCGGCAAACAAACCTAGGCAGTAAACTATCCCTGTCATACCGTATCTATGGCAGTGCAGGGTACGAATTGAACCTGGTGGAACTACACCTTGATCAATAGGCCTGCAGCTGTACTAGAACTTGCTTCAAGCCCAGTAACATGGGGAAGAAATAATTTTCCATGGAGACTAGTTCATCCAGGTTACTATCTTTATTGGCCGAAGCGAGACTGATTACATAGATATACAGTCTGCATAAGACAGTGATGGCGAACCTATGGCACGCGTGCCACAGGTGGCACGCCGAGCCCCCTCTGTGGGCACGCGGCCATAGGTCGCCGGAGGGAGGGTGCGCTTAGGGCGCACAGGCCCGGCGGGCGCAAAAGCCGGAGTGACCGGCTGGAGGTGATCAAGGATCAAGGAGGAGGGTCAAGAGGGGAGGGATGACGAGGAAGATATGAGAGGACTGAGTGGGGAGGGAAGATGAGGGAGAAGATAGGGATATGGGGACTGAGTGGGAGAAGATGGGAACTGGTGGGAGAAGAAGATAGAGGGAACTGAGTGGGAGAGATAGAGGCAGTGGGAGGAGATAGAGAGGAGCAGGTGGGGAGAGATGGGAACTGAAAGGTGGGAGGGAGATAGAGGAACTGGAGTCGGGAGAGAGATGAGGCAGGTGGGAGGAGAGATGAGAGCAGGTAGGAGAAGGTAGAGAGGACTGAGTAGAGGAGAGATGAGAGACTGAGAGTGGGAGAGATATAGGGAAGAACTGGTAGAGGAAGATATAGAGAGAGAAGCAGAGAGATATAGAGAGAGAGAGAGAAGCAAGGGAGAATATAGAGAGGAGCAAGAAAGGGAGGAGAGAAATATAGAAGCAAGGGAGAGAATACTAGAGAGAACAAGGGAGAGATATGAGGGAGAATATAGAGAACTGGAG